ACTGTGTTACCTTTAATGTTCCTCTGAGGCCCTGATAAGCAAGAAGATTTACACAGGAAGTACACCCACCAATGTAATAACTATATAATAACTGTAACACATAACGTGCTATAGACATATAAAGCCCTAAACCTATAGCACGGGCTCTATATGTGTCTTTGCTGTGGTTGTGCCAACCACAACATATTCTACTTTCTTATTTGAGTTCGCCTATCAAGGTCACAAATCAATACAAACCTTGCGCCGCTTCAGCTGCTGCCACTTTTACCCTCCTAAAAAAACAAAAAACAAAAAACAAAATCACTTTGACTTGCACCGAAGCCACGCGCGTTGCCTCTTGCTGCGCTGCTGCGGCACACTGTGTACTTTATGGGAAATGTTTACCAAGACGCGCAGAGCAGTTACAGGGAAAGGACAGTTTTTCTAATTGTGTGGTTACTGGGGAGATCAGTGGTGGTGCAAGTCTGGTGAAACTGTGTGTGGGCACACGAGGCGCAACCCGACGCTCTCACTGTCACTGGTGAACACCGAGACTCAGCACTTTTCTTCTCTCCAAAGCTTCCTGGAAATAAAAGGCAGCACATATGCAGAGAAGTGGATGCTGTGATACGGCCGCCTTCGTCGCCTCGAGGGAGACGTGCACGTTGGGTGAAACGCGAGCAAAATTGTGGGACGGGTGGGGTGCTGGTGGAGGAGGAGGCATTTCCACGGTTTAATATCTGACATGGGAGATCTCCAAGAATTGGTTTACCACCCACGTGTTGGTTTAATGGAGCAATTACGCTGTACGCAAAGCAGCTTATTGATAACATCGGCACAACACAAAAATAAAAATGCAAATATACTGCAAATAGACTCATATCTAAGAGATCTACTTATCACATAATCTAATTCCTTCCAGTGAAAGGATTACAGTCATAATACATGCATAGTTCATTGTTTCGTTAGTCATTCGGGTCCCTCAAAATTTCATCTGCACTGTCACCAGGCTTGGTATTTACTGTTTCAAAGGCTCAGAGATGACTCCAGTGAGTGAAGCCCACTTCTATTTTATTTACCAGAAGTGGTTCACCAGACCGGGTTTTCACACACACACACACACACACACACACACACACACACACACACATACACAACCTTTCCTGTCAAAGTTGAGCTCATTCTAAGAAAGTTAAGCATGTGAGCACAATAGAGGTCAGAGGTTATTGCTCCTTTGTATTTACATAATAAGTCATGTCATTAACTGAAGCTCTAAATGAGCAGCGATTAATACATCAGAAAGAAATGAAGGTGAATGCTTCGGTCTCAGAATGAGCCAATCAAGCAGCTCCATCATTTACTGTATTTTCTGCGTGTGTGTTTGTGACAATTCGGTCAGTCGTTTATTCTTGGATCCTTTTATCTGAAATCTCTCTGATGTTTCAGTCAGCGCGATAGTATAGCTTTCAGTCATTTTTTTTTTGTCAGAGAAACATTCAAAGGTGTTGTGCAATAGGTTGAAGGAGATGGGTTCGTCAGAAGCCAGTTTGAGCACACTTTTGAACATCTTGCCCTATATTAACAAAAAAAAAAAAGATCACGGTTATGTCACGCGCTTATGCACATAAAACACAAGTTTGTGGGAATTTAGGTCAAAAGGACTAAGTTATGTGATCTTTTAGACGGTTGTTGTATTAAAAGTGCAGAAAGTGTCATTTCTCATCTGGTTCCTTCCGCCTGCAGAAAGGGCGGTCTGACAGCTTTTATAACTTTTTAAGAACTGCTCAGAGCTGTTATTTCAACTTCAGAGTAAATGTTTACAACGCTCAGCTTTTCTTCTGATTAGATAAACAGTTGAGGGGGAGACCAGATTCAACAAATAGGCTCCCAGTTTCAAACAAAAGAAAAAAAAAACTTAAAGTAAAAAAAAAAAAGAAAAACATTAAGTATTCTTTTATTTCTTGTAACCATTGCAGCAGTTTGTGCATTGCATTAGCCTTACTTCAATAAATCCTGACTTAATAATGGCCCAATTTATTTGTGTTACTTCCTTCAAGTTGTGAGGAAATATTATACACGTTTATTTCCAAGTCGTAGTTTTCCTCTAGACAATGATGCTCTCTCTTCTGGGGTTGATGCACAAATAGGCTGTTCCACTCTGGGTCTCCTTCCTGGACAGAGTTGTAGTTGGATTTTCCCATCTTGTATAAATCGACATATAATTGTTTGTGGCACCTTCAGGCATATGAAAGTTGCGATGAGCCTGACTTATAAAGGTGCACATTTCTTTTCCTCGTGTCTTGGCTGGTTTTTAAAAAAAAAAAAAAAATGTTTTCCATCATATCACACAAGCAGTGAGCTTGGGGTGTTGCCTTAAAACAAATCAATTTCAGCATTTTCTTTTTTTTACACAATACACACCATGAGTGTCTAGACTAGCATAGATGTCCATCCAACTCAAGGTCTTGGCAGCCAAAATTATTTACGTGGTCCTCTTGGCTGCAGATAACTTTCAATATAAAAGTTGCATTCTTAAATACTTGATCAATCAAGTCAAAACTGTTTTTTATTCAAATTTTGCCAAATCACCTTAATGTGAAAATATGTTAAATATTATTTCATTTTAAGAAGTGCAGAGGCAAATATTTGAACAATTTGTTAGTTTTGTAAATACATTCTGAGGATTTTCTTGATCTATGTTTAAATGAGTTCGACCCCCTCTGACCTTGAGTATCGTCCTCCAAATCCTCCCTCATGCCTGCAGTGTTTGTTTTTTGTTTTTTTTTACTATTTTTAGTAATGATTATCTATTAGATCATCTATTTGTTTTTGTTCCTCAACACTTAAACCAACCACTGAAAAACTAAGCTGCACGAAGATAAAAATCAAAATGTGACATACATATTAAATAAGTGAAAACCATGTTGTGCTCCATTTTCTACTTTCTGTCTGAGTGTGTGACACTCCTCCTGATATAAATGACACAGATAAAACGACGTGGGCGAGCATCTTTTTCTTGTAATATACAATTTCCTGATGCCTTGACATTCTGCACATATTTCTGTAGATGCTTATCAGATAAATGTTCCTAATAAGGAGCTGAAGTGGAAAACGTGGCAGAACCACGAAGTACAGGTAAACACCACGCATAGTTGCCTCGTACAATGCCAAGCTGGACTCTGAACTGTTACGCACCTAACAACTTTTATGCCCACAAAAAAGAGGAGAGAGAAAACATACTTCACTTATTGTTTGTTGTCAAATTAAGTGAAATGAAATAAAATAAGTGATTCTCATGCGTCATCTGCGCCAACATGATGACCTTCTTTACCCTCCTCTTCGTTGTGAGTCTTCGTACGTCACGGCTCTAGCTATTTAGGTGAATAACCGTTTTCTTGTGAATGCAACAAAATGTTCTCTTGTCTTTCCTCATCTTGAAGAGTACCCCCGGAGAAATAGGCCTCTGTGTCACATTATATTTTCACGTCAGTGAAACAGAAAGCCGAGGTTACTAATTTCCTCAAAAATTTAAGTTCCTGAAAATTCAGATCAACTTAAAAACTTAACTGGACATTTATAAGGTTTAAGAAGTGAACCAAAAAATAACAGGAGGAATAAATGCTACACTGCAGCTGACATTTTCTACAAATTGCTATCGTTGTTTTACAAGACATATGACACAGTGAGGTTATGCTGCAGACAAAAATGTTGAATTTATTTTAGGGCTTGTATTAACATCTGACTTACATTTTATAACAAGTTTAGCAAATGTTTGGAGAGAAACGTTTATGTTTGTCAGATTTGTTTGCAATTTTTTTTTTGCACAGTATAAACATGCGAGATAAAATTTCAGAATGAATTCGCTGATGCAGTCCATTTGTCCCGCACAGTCAAATCACAAATCAGCAGTGTTTTTGACAAGAACGTTCCAGTGCTGTTTCATCTAGTTTGGTCTTTGGCTCTTGAGTAAATAACATGCAAAATGTCACCCAAAAAAATTTGTCTTCAGCAGGGAAACTGAAGAGGAGCTGGAAAGGCCCTGAGTATTTCTGTCTCTCACTGAGGATTTTAGGACTTCAACACTCTGAGGCGGTTTATTCTGTTCAGAAATCTGTAATAAAAACATTGTCGGCATGTTTTGTCACATGACCGCTTATGCTGGCATGCGCCACCTGCATGCAGCAGAACTCAGAGGTTTCCATCAAGAAAAGTAAAAAAAAGAAAAAAAAAATGCTGACTTTGCCAAAGCACCAAATGGCTCATGTGAAATCCAGAGTCCCCCCTACACTCATTTCTCTCCAGCTCGGTTTACAACTCACCGGTAAATTCGTTCTGCACTTCTTTGAAACGGACTTATCCTAAATGTTACTTAATTTCAGATGATCCACTGTAGTGGTTTGAAATTAAGGTGTGCATTGACGTGCATTGCTTGCTTAAGCTCTCGCTGAGCGACTTGCACATGCAGGCAGAACGTACTCTTACTGATCGTCAGGTTTTGGCATAAAGAAGGTCAATGAGCGGCAGCTCCCACAGCCCCCAGTGGGTTTGGTATGACTGGTGGTTTTATGGTGAAACGTTAAGATGCTGCTGTGTAACCGTCACCAGAGAGTGAGTTCACTGGGTGATCTGGGCGCTCACCTCAGAGTACCTTGCAAAAAACGATTCGTACTGCTTAAGCTTTTCCACATTTTCTTGCGTGACAGCAGCACATCTTGATGCAATCTATTGGTATTTCGTGTGATAAATCACCACAGAGCAATGCACGAGTCTGAATCAGAACAAAGCGAAGCAAAGTGGTTTTCACATCTAAAAGAAATTGTGGCTTTTACTTTTGTACACACTCTCCTTTACTCTAATAACTGCAAACAATCTCCAGTGCAGTCAATTGGCCTTTAAACATATAAATGTATATGCAACAGATTTGCTTTTAACTATCTCTGCTTATTTAACTGTAAACTTCTATACTTTTATACTGTGACATACTGCTACCAGTAAAACTTAATTGCATTAATTGCAAGTTCTCTATTGGGTCAGAAGTTGCCCAATTTCTTAATAGTGTTCACCTGTGTGTGATTTAATCTCAGTAGTAGTTATCTAACTTTTAGGGGAGTGAGCTGAAGCAGGAAGCCGTTGTTACGATTTGTCCCCCTTTAAAGCAAAGACATGCACGGAGCACAGAAGAGATGTAGAAGAAGGAGCTCTGCTCAGACGGGACCGAGGTGAGACCCTACATATGTATTAAAATGCTGCGTGTGTGTATGTGTGTTGCACACCATCCTGATGACATCATCCCCATTGTGAAGCATGGCGGTTGTCATGTCATGCTGTGTGGATGCAAATTTTCAGTGGAGGCTCTGGATCTTGTCAAGGTTGAAGATGGATAGATGAATCTTTTTTTTTTCTTGCCACTTTACAATTCTGAACTACTTTGAGTTTATCTGTCACATAAAAATACCATGAAAAAAAAAACTAAACAAGAAAAGTGACTAAAAGAGAAAAATATCAAGATGCATGAGTCCTTTCATGAGGCATTTCATCATCTTGAGACCACAGTAGATGTTTTTCAACTAAGTTAGGGTTACATTTTAATTAAAGCGTGCTTTAGAGTTAACTCCGTGCATTGCAATTAGATTAATTTGAGCTCTGATTCTGACATTGTGCAACACACAAGGTTGATTCTTTTACATTCTGATTGTTTTTCATCTTTCTGTCAAACATCCACTCAGACTTTCCTCGCGTCTTACATTCAAGTGCAATAACCACTAACGAATTTAATCACCGGGCTCATCTGCTTTCTATCGCATGGTTTCGGTCCTCGTTATTCGGCCAACCCCCCCCCCCCCCCCCCCCCCCCCCCCCCCCCACATCAATACCCGGGCA